CATGTGTCTTTGATGGGTAAATTAACATATCACTTCTTGGCCTTTTGTCTAAGATCAAGTGTGAATAAATTAATAAAAGGCTATTTCTACTTTAAATATTTCACTTAATATTTCTCAGAATAGAGCCGGGCATGGTGGCTCACATCTGTAATCCTAGCATTCTGGGAGACCAAGGCAGGTGGATTTTCTTGAGCTCAGGAGTTCAAGACCAGCATCATTAAGAGTGAGACCTGTCTCTACTAAAAATAGAAAAACTAGCTAGGTGTAGTGGCATAATATACCTGTAGTCCCAGCTTCTTGGAAGGCTGAGGCAAGAGGATTGCTCAAGCCCAAGAGTTTGAGGTTGCTATGAGCTATGATGCCATGGCATTCTACCCAGGGTGACAAAGTGAGACTCTGCCTAGGGAAAAAAAAAAAAACTTTTTAAGGCAGATTTATTTGAAAATAAAGAAATTTTATGGCTGAAATGCTGCTATAATTAGTGAAATCAAGAATCACTGCCAGTACGTTGTCTTTGTTGACATTGCTAAACATATTGGAGAAATTTCAGAAAACTCTGGTTCAGCTGGGCATGGTTGTTCACATCTATAATCATAGCACTCTGGGAGACTGAGGCCGAAGGATTCCTTGAACTCAGGAATTTGAGACTAGTCTAAACAAGAGCAAGACCCTATCTCTACAAAAAAAATAGAAAAATTAACCAGGCCTTGTGGTGGGCTCTAGTAGTCTCAGCTTCTTGGGAGGCAGGAGGATCACTTGAACCCAGAAATTTGATATTGCTCTGAGCTATGTGCTCTATCCTGGAGCAATAGGGTGAAATTCTGTCTCAGAAAAAAAAGTCTGGTTTAAATTGTAGGTTGAATCTCATTGACTTATTTAGGGCATACTTCATATTCATTTTTCATTCTTCATTTGGGTTAATATATAAAATCCAGCTTAATTAGGTCTAATTAAAGTTAATTTATTTAAGAGTAAGAGATAAAAAAATAAATTTTATCTTCTTGCCAGGATACACTTCCTAGCAGTTTTTAGCAGTGTAGTTTAAAGAAAAGGACTGAGTAGTTACTTAATCTAGAAAGAGAAGAATAGTTGCCTATTAGGAAAACTAGTTCTAAGGCATATTGCAAAGAAGAGTACATATATTCATGAGGATATATTAAAAAATAAACACCACCGAAGACAAGCCATTTTTTAGGGTCTTTTAAAAAATATATTGTACTTTGGAATTGTATGTGTGCTTTCTTCACACTTACATATCATTTTTTGAGATAAAGAAGAGGAAATTAAATGAGATGCAGAGAGGTGAAGTCTTAACATTAGAATCTAGTTTTCTGTCTCAGTTTGGTATTCTTTCCCCAAATTGATAGGAATTGCTGCTGAATATGGAGATAGCCTTGACAAACAAGCAAAATCAACAGAGTTCCAAAACAAATTCATTTTTAGTACATTGTTAAAGAGAGTTTAGGTTTGTAGAATTATTTTAAATATAAAAATGCCGTGAGTGTACCTAGGGAACGTTCCAAGTACTCAGAAGTGGAAATTTATAAAAATAGAGGATCTCCTATATGGAAAAAATGACTGTGCCAGATTCTTGAGTTAAACCTGGGAGGTAAACTCTAAGAGAACTCTAGAGAAACCTCCACCAAGAGTTATGGTCATTCTTTCAGTGCTGAAACAGCTGTTATTCCTTTTTGTTTAGCCATGCCATTGCCGCCTAATAATAGCATTTGTGGCTGGGGCTTGGTTGATAATGTCATCAGCAAATCCTGTGGAATGCTGAGCGGTTGTAAAACAACAGGGACTGGCCAAACCAGTTTGTGGGTCAGTTGTAGATTTTCTGTCTCCCGACTGATGGGAAGGCCTCCAGTCAAGGATAGTATGTAAGAGTGAGACCCCATTTCTACTAAAAATAGAAAAACTGAGGCAAGAGGATCACTTAAGCCCAAGAATTTGAGGTTGCTGTGAACTATGATGATGACATGGCACTCTACCCAGGGTGACAGCTTTAGACTGTCTCAAAAAAGAAAAAAAGAATAATACAGCCTTAGGGTTCTTTTGTGTGCTGGCTCTAATGTAATTATCAACAATAGGCATGGGTGGTGCCTGTGGCTCAAAGGAGTAGGGCACAGGCATGGCTCCATATGCCAGAGGAGGCACTCAGGGGGCACCAAAAGATTACTTCACCTTTGTAGCACTGGGGTTGGAAAAAGCCAAGGACAAACAAGCCAGTGGATTACAAACCATTGTTCTAAGCGGGCTAATAATAACAGAGGATTTATTATTAGGTCATTAAATGTGAATTGTCCTATACCAAATCAAAGTTTATCTCCGACAACAAGCAGTGCAATTAAAGTAGGTGCCTAAACCATAGACATAGTTTTGCCATCATAACTATAGCTTACATATGTATGCAGTTAGGGAAGAAGCCTGCAGACCTTGTGAAAATTGAATGTTTTCCCTCGGAAGAAGTGATAGTCAGTTTGTGCTAGGTCTGTTAAGTACAGTGGAGATAGTTTCCAAGTTCAGCTTCTGTAGTATGAGCAGTGTTATGACAGCATTGTCTTGCAAGAGGATTGGCCTGACTCTGTGGATCAGTCTTACTGGCTTACTTGTAAGCATCCTCTTCATGTCATCCATTTGGTTGCAGTGGACGTCTTCTGCAATCAATCTACTAGGTTTCATGAAGCCATATGATTAACCAAACACTGGACCACCAAACAGACACCATTAACTTTTATTGATGAACTTTCGGTTTTGGACTGTGTTCTGACACTTCATCTTTATCTAGACATGGTACTGAACACTTGTGATTGCTGGAAAGAATCCACTTTTCACCATATGAAATATGTTGTGTAAGTGATTCACCTTTATGTTGTGACAGCAAAGGCAAGCTTCAACATGCCTTCTCTTCTGACAATTGTTTAATTCACATGGAACCCATCTATCCAGCTTCTTTGTTTCAAATGGTCCAATGTTATTGGAATAGTAACATCAGACCTTGCTGCTAATTGAGCCATAGGTTCCACTATAGCTTTCAGCTCATCATTATCCAACTTGGTCTCAGGTCGCCCACATGGGTCATTTTCAAGATTAAAATCACCAGAACTGAACCCCTCAAACCACTGATGGACTGTGTGTTCATTAGCCACATCCTTCCCAGATACTTTATTGGTATTTTGAGCTGTCTGCAGTGCATTGGTTCCATGATGGAAGTCATATTTGAAAATAACACTAATTTTTTACTTAGCCATGGTTTCACCAAAAAAAAATATATATCTTTAAAAAAAAATTGAGAGGCTCGGTGCCTGTGGCTCAAGTGGCTAAAGGCACCAGCCACATACACCTAAGGTGGCGGGTTCAAGTCTAGCCCAGGCCCACCAAAACAACAATGATGGCTGCAACCAAAAAATAGCCAGGCATTGTGGTGGATGCCTGTGGTCCCAGCTACTTGGGAGGCTGAGGCAGGAGACTTGCTTGAGCCCAGGAGTTGGAGTTTGCTGTGAGCTGTGATGCCACAACGCTCTACCCAGGGGGATAGCTTGAGGCTCTGTCTCCAAAAAAAAAAAAAATTGAGAGAGGGTGGCGCCTGTGGCTCAAAGGAGTAGGGCACTGGCCCCATATACTGGAAGTGGTGGGTTCAAACCTAGCCCTGGCCAAAAAAAAAAAAATTGAGAGATAATCACAAGCCAAAACTTTGCATTTGAAAGAATGAGGATGTAGCTTCCCAATAAAAATAAGATGTGTCAAAATGAAAAGTTGTAGAGATCAGCTGTCAAACTTAGTACTTAAATTGGACATTTCATACTTAATAACCTAATAATTCATAAGACAGATCCAATGTTAGTATAAAATGTCCAGATATAGGTCACAAGCACTTAGGAAACTTGAATGTGTCCAGGAGAAAATGTGAAATTTTCTCTGTTATTTAAGCAGTTGTCTACTTGGGAAGGCCTATGGGCAAGAAAAGCTTTCAAAGTCTGGTACCAGGAAGGTGGCAAAGAGTAAAACAAAACATATCTTTGTATAGGACCTCAAATTATATTTTCTCATAGAAATAGCATTAAATACAGATATTGGTAAGGTCAATAATAACTACTTTTGTATATGCTTTATAATTTCCCAAGCACTTTGTAACACATTTGATAGAAAACTCTGAGATGAATAGGGCAAAAATTACTCATTTCATGAAAATGAAATTAATTATTAAGTATGAAATGTCCAATTTCTTTAAATATTCAACAAGTATTTGCTGAATAAATATAAAAGTTTCCTCCCCAGTGGGGTTTATATTCTAGTGAGACAAGACATAAAGAATGGTCATTAATAAATTACATAGTATGAAGAAGGGGACAAGTTAAGGAAGAAACAGCAATTTCAGGGGGGATTGACTGGCAGTGGGGTGGGGCATGTGGGATAAGGCAGTTTAAACAGGTTAGACACTGAGAAGAGAAGACTTGAGACAACATGAGGAAGGTAAGGCAAAGACCAGCCAGTACCAAGCCTAAGGCCTTTGTGTGCTTGGTAGGTTCAAGGAGTAGTAAGGCAGCCAGTGAGTCTGCAGTAGGTTGGGTTGCAGAGGGAGAATGTCAGAGACTCTGCTTGTGACAACCTCAAAATACCCAAAGTTTACAGAACTTGGCCGAAGTCCAGTTGGGGTAAAACTCTAAACTTTCTAATGACTCAATTCTCTGGGTGCTACATATGAATAATGACAGATTAACAACCTATGTTAAAATTTACATTTTATTTTTGTTCAGCAGTCTTTATTAAACCATTCTCAGCTAGTCTGAGTTTATTTTCATAGTTTTTACTAAGCAAGAAAATACATCTTTGTCACAGTATTTCATTCTCTACTGTGTTTTAAGTTATTAAATTGAAACCTAAACTTTGATTTTGCTTTCAGAGATAACACAGTAATCATTTGATTTAATTAACATTAATTCAGAAGACCTTACTTTTATATCTGTAATTTTGCACATTTTTTAATCTTTGTTTTAAAGATATGGGCACACTGCTGGAGAAGCTACACACAATGCAGTGGATTCTGCCGTCAATGTTGGCGTAACTGCCTATAACATCAACAACATAGGTATCAAAGCGATGGTGAAGAAAACCGCAACACAGACAGGACACACTCTTCTTGAGGACTACCAAATAGTTGATAATTCTCAGAGGGAAAATCAAGGAGCAGCAAATGTAAGCATGAGAGAGGAGAAGGATGAGCAGATGAAGAAAGGGAAGAAGAATGAGGCAAAGAAGAAAGATAAATGATGGACGTGCTGGGACTCGCCTATACCAAAGCCTTACGAGATTGATGAAATTTTGTTCAGCAGGTAAATGGGGAATTCCCCACAGATATAACCAGTGTTTTTTTTAAAGTATTCATTCCTACAAAGTGACTAATGAATTTTATGGCATGTGTTCAGCTTAAAAAGAGAAGAATCGGTATTCTTGGCATCTAGCCTTTAGAAATATACATTCTCAATAAGTTTATCTTTTTCCAAATGTAGCTGAAATATTTTTGCAGTTAAAATAAAGCTAATAATGTGCTATAAGCCTCATTAAATCTAATGTTAAAGTATATCTGTATTTGTTATCTTTCAGAAAGCTAAGTAGGAAATTATATATTGACTTAAAATTTGTCATTTAGTAACCTCAGTTCTATTTGTACTGAAGGAATGAATTAAAATAATGTCTTCTCTTTTGCACTAATTGTGGATTCTTTTTTAGATGCTCATCAAAATTTTCAGTGTATAAGCTAAGCAAAAACTGTAATCCCTTGGAAACTTGAGAATTCTCAGATAACATTTTTAAAAACTTCAAAACAGGGAAGAGACTGGTGAAGAATAAAATCAGGTTCTATAAAATTATTTGATAGCTTACATGTTTGTTAGGAAGCAGGATGGTCTTTTTCATTTAAAATGAAAGTAATAGATTTTTAAGGATTTTATATTGAGACTGGTACTGATTTATTAAGAGCCAGGAAATTTGGGGGCATAATTGGTATTAAAATTTGAAGTGATTATTATCAGTTTAATTGGACTCTTAAATACTCTTAAGAAATGTTTTGGACATATCTGCTTTGTAAGCTTTTCAAAATGGCTAAAACTTGGTGAAAACTAAAACAATTGATGCTAAATGTATTTTTATTTTAGTCATTGGAATTTGTATTAAAAGCCAGTAAGTTATTAAAAAGGAAAGGTTCTATCACTGTAAGGTAAACAATGTGAAAATGGTGGGTAAACATAGTAGTTTCCACTTTGGCAGGATACTTACCTTTAAGCTATAAATATGCAAGTAAATACCTAATGGCATTTTATTTTTATTTACTGAATTTATTAGTTTTCATAGCTGTTGCCCATTCTTACCATTTCTGAACCCCTCGTGGCTGTTAGTAGACTTTATTTGAAGTGTCTGAAGAATGCACTTGTGAATAAAAATTAAATTGCTTGGCCTCAAATATATTCGTGGCTTTGTATTTTAAGAACACACAGGATTAGTAGAGCCTTTTCCTAAGGCCATGGAAAAGTTGTTAAAATTGAAATAAAAGTGAATTGTAAACAGCGTCCAGTCACTTTCTGCTTTGCCAGGTTTACAAAATACAATGGCAGATAGTGAAGCCTAAAGTTTAAAAAGTTACCTTTGACTGGAGGTCATTGTTCCTAAAAAAGAGATTAACGAGGTTGATAATCAGAGAGCTTTATTTCTCATGAAGGGTAGCAACCTTCTGTGTGGCCATTCCAAAAGGTTGGGAAGCAGATCCTGGGCCAGAAGCCAGACCATGCGCTTGAAAGAAGAGATAAAAGGCAACAGGATTTTATATTGATCATGTTAGTCAAATGAACACATTTAACAGGCTGTAGGAAGATTCATGAATATTTATGAAGGGTCATCATAATTGTGCTTTACCTCTTCCATCCCAGCCTGGCTGGGAACTAGCGTTTCTGGTGTCCCCTTGACCAAGAAGGGTTGATTTAGTTAGCAGAGGGCTTCGGATTTTATTTTCACTTCAGCAAATATACCCATGGGCCAAATCCAGGGGGCCACCTGTTCTCATAAAATTTTATTACAGTACAGTCATACCTATTTGTTTATATCAGTGGTTTTCAACTGTATGCTGAAAGCATACTGGTGTGCCATGAAAGGATTTTAGGTGTGCTGTATACATTTTTAAAGATCATTAATTAAATTATTTTTGAAAGAAGTAATTAAAGTTATTTAATATTATTTGTATTTTAAGAACACACAGGAAATTATTAAATAATTTAATTACTTCTTTAAAAAATAATTTTCAAAAGAACCACAATAAGTAAATTCTTTTTTTTACCCTTTTTTAAAATCAGCATAATTTGTGTGCTATGGAAGTTTAACCATAGGTTCAAGTTTGCCATGAGATAAAAATGGTTAAAAAACAACTGATTTCATGTATTAGCTATGGCTGTTCTTTTGTACAACACCAGAGTTAACTAGTTGCAAAGACTATATGGCTCACAAACCTTACGTATATTTACAATCTGGCCCTTTACTGAAAAAGTATGCTGACCCCCCTGCCTTAGACTACAGAACATGGACTTTTCCCATCATTCCATTGAGTCACTAGGAGATAGGCTTATGATAAAAAAAATTGGTATATAATAATTGATACACAGAAAAAAAATTGTCAGGCCTGAAACATAATAAATTCATCTCCCAACTAAAGATATAGAAAGTTGTCAATTACATATTCACGTATATTCCTTTCTATTTTCTCTCCTTGCCTCTCTGTTCTCCACCATTATTTTTTTCTTTTATCACAAATAAATATTTTCTGAACATAATGTTTCACTTTGTACTTTCAAAGCTTTGTACATATAGTACTTTAATGCAAAGTTTTATTCAACTTGTTTTTCTGAGTTTGTGTAAAATTTATTCTTATGTGTATGGTGTAGTTCCTGTAAACTAGTATTCTGTGTAAGTGTACCACAATTTTAAGTATTCATTTTCCTGTCAGTTGACGTTGGTTTTTAATTTTTGTTGATAGAAACAGTACTACCATAAACATTCTTGAATATGCCTGCTACACATATGCAAGAGATTTTATGCATAGGTGTGGACCTATCAGGTCATAGGGTTTGTCATTTTTAACTGCAAACTAATGCCAAATTACTTTCCAAAATGGCCATATAGTCTTGAGCAGTATTTACTTGGACAATATTTTTGTCAGTCTAGCATAAATAAAATGGTATCTCAGAGTTTTAACTTGCATTTTCCTGACCTCTCATGAGGTCAGTAATTTTTCAGATGTCCCATTCATTTCCCTTCACTGAAAAATTTGCTTGTTTGTAACTGTTGAGTTTTGATTTTACATTTAAGTGTTTTAATTATTAAAAATTGGTATATATTTACCAGATGTAAGGTAAGAATCTAATTTTTCCCCCTGTGGATAATCACTTATTCAAGTTCCATTCATTCTCCTTTATTGATCTCCACAGGTCTTTATCAGGTTTCTCTGTATTTAAAGTATGAGTGTTTATGAACTATCTATTTGTTCCATCTGTCATTTCTTTTATCTCTATGCTGGTACCACAGTACCATCATTATAACTTCATAAAAAATCATGCTGTCTGGTTAGGGCAACAGAGTCAATTCCTTTGACCATATTCTTTAAGAATATTTTAGCTAAATGACAAATTCAGTAAGTTTAAAATCTCAGAGGGTTGGCACCTACAGCTCAGGGGTAGGGTGCTGGCCATATACGCCAGGGCTGGGGGATTTGAACTCAGCCTGAGCCTGCTTAAACAACAAGAGCAACAACAGAAATAGCCGGGCATTGTGGTGGGTGCCTATAGTCCAAGCTACTAGGGAGGCTGTGGCAAGAGAATCGCTTAAGCCCACGAGTTTGAAGTTGTTGTGAGCTGTGACACTCTACCAAAGGTGACACAGGGGCACTCTGTCTCTAAAAATAAATAAATAAATAAAAATAAAATCTCCTCAGAAAGAAACATCAGTCCCACATGGACTTATGGGTAAGTTCTGTCAGACTCTAAAAAAACTCTAAAGAAAATAAATGGACATCCCCCACACACACCAGTGCTTTATGTAAAAGGGAAGGTCAAGCCTGGAGGTTGAATCATGCAACAAATGAACAGCTGTTACTAATTTTATGCATCACCCAGATCCACATAGAAGGTAAAAGGCCTCTGGCAGACCTAGGCTAACTTTAGGGCTCACCTCACTCTATATCTCCCTTCCTTAATGCATGCTCTGTGGGGCCACTTCTCCATGCCCGATTCTCTTTTTATACCCAATGGCTTACAAGCAATAATGGTTTTTTTTAAGGCAAAAGTACATTTCGAGACAGCAGAAGTTGTGGGTAAAATTATAAACCAAAATGTGGAGGTTATTCTTTGGTTTGGTTTGTGTTACTTTCTCCTGGCCCCTCTGAAAGACATTTCAAAGAAAGAAGAGCAGCCAGAGCTCAGTCCTCAGTTCCCTCTTATCTATGTCTATGTTATTGGGTCAACTTTTTCTAGTGGGGGTTTCTGAAATACAACTCAAAAGCACATATTAAAATGTGATCTTTTAGTTTTTGTAAAGAACCAAAATACCTTGGGAAACTTGTTACTATGTCCTTGTTTATCAGAATGTTTCTTTTACTTTTCAGTTTCAAGGCTAGGTGCCTGGAATTTCCCTTGAAGGAACTCAAGATTTTTTTTTTTTCCATGCTTGGTAGGGCACAGGCCCCGAAGAAGGGTCTCTGCTCTTTCTCAAGATAAATTTATTTTATCCTTACAACATTCCTCCACTATTAGAATCCTTATTTTACAGTATAAGAAACTGAGACACAGAAAGGTTAAGTAACTTGCCCAAGAACAATTCAAAGAGAACAGTAATAAACAAAGGGAAAGAAGAAGTCACACACATACTTGCCTCAAAAAGGAGGGACTGATACAGTAGCATGATTTTTAGGCCAATCTTGTCTTTTGTAAATGAATGTAGATAGGGAAAGACAAGTTGTCTGCTGTGGTTTTGTGAGGGTTCAGGCAGTTATCTGTGTTCCTTGATTCTTGGTGTGCTATTTGCTGAAGAATGACCAGATCCACCAAAGCAAGGCAAGTGCTAAAGTTTATTAAGGAAAAAAAAAAGATTTACAGAACAAGAGCAAGATACATTCACCATAGCCAAGGAACAGACCCCCTTTTGTAATGATCTGGGGTTCTGTTGTATATTATCTCAATTGGCGGTTCAGACATTACCATGGAACCCCTGTCATGGACAGTTAATGCCATGATAATTATTTTTAAGTCACCTTCCAAATCCTACCATGCCTTCTCTGCCTGGTGTTCCTCCTCTCCCCAGATGTGGCATTTCATTGCTCGGGATCTGATTAAGGTGGGGCCGGCCCTTGCACTGCTTCCCATGTTGGGCAGTTGCTCCAGGCAGCACCACTTTGTCCCTTAAGAGAGACTCCAAGTTCCCTTGCTATCTAACCATTTGAATGTCTCCCCCAAAACTTATGTTGAAATGTAATTCCCAAGGTAGTGGACACTGAAAAGGGGGGCCTTTAAGGTGATTGGATTAGAAGGGCTCTGCCTTCAGGAACAGATTGGCCCATTCATGTGTTAATAGATTAACTGTTAATGGACTATTGGGTTTTCAGGAGAGGAGAACTGGCGGCTTTATAGAGAAAGAGAGACTTGAATTAGCACTTAGCACACTGAGGGGCTCCCCTCCAGATACCCTTCATCACCTCAGGACAATTCATTGACTTCCCACCAGCATAAAAGCTCTCACCAGATGCATACCCTCTACCTTGGATTTCCCAGCTTCTAGAATCATAAGAAATTAATTTTTAAGAGATTATCCATTTTCAGGTAGTCACAGAAAATGGACTAAGATATGGTGTTCATAGATTTCCCCCCATTCCAGCTCCTTAACATCATTGGTATTTTTTTATATATAATTCCATTGGCCTAATAGTTGGTAGAAAATTTCCCAAGATATTAGCAATAAGTCATGTGTCCTAGATATTAATGTAGCAGGAAACCGATGCAGACAGAAGACTCCAGGCACCAGTTGATTAGAGGAAGCGGGTTTATTCAGCTGGGGGTACTCGGAACACCAGCGTGTTTCCCAAAACCGAGCCCCCCAACTCAATCCCATGCCTCTCTTTTATCCACTTTTCAGAGTGGGAGTGCACGTGAGGGTCATAAGACAGAGAGTGAGGGTCATAAAATAAAGAATGAGACATAACATCATAGATTACAATCTAGGCCCTGAGTATGTCAGGGGAGAAACACGCAGACAACAGAAACGCCTGCGGCTTGGCTGAGGCCTACACAGGGTGGCCAGGACAGACTTTCCTGAACTGCTTTTTACTTTTCTCACCTCAATAATAGTGACACAGCGTTCCCCCCATTACAAACTGGACAGGGGCCCTCATTTTCCAGGCCTACGCAAATTTCTCTCCAAACTGCAC